TTTATTGGGCAGCAAATTTGGTAGCAGTGCCTATCGTACACAACACCAAAATAAATTTCTACCTGTTGCTGGATTTCCAACTGTCTTCTTTCATCTGTATCCACTGAAATAGTTAGAAACTGTGCTGCCTTCAGGGATGTGTTGCTAGAGACAGTTTGGTTTGTATAAGCAGATACTTTAACAACGTATTTTTCCTCTGCTGTGTACATTTGCCTAAACTTGGTTTCTTGTATGACCTAAAAAAAAAAAAAATCTGACAAAAGCCTTACTCAAGGCAATGCTTTTCAGAAAAAAAAACTAAACAAACTAGTTGCAATCCGAATAAAGAAGTTGAGCTTACCTAAGTTTCTGATTTGTTAACATATCTTCATAAAAACTGATGAGAAGTTTAATGCACCACTGTACTTGCAATTTAGGTCGGCCAACAAAAAGATTTTAAGATACTGTCCTACAGAATACATTGTCATAAACAATGAACAATTAAACAGCTTTCTAATCCCCAGATGGATGAGTTACTTCTAATCCTACCATAGGGTTTTACTGTTTTCTTTAAGAATATTAGAGATACAGACCTTGGCAAGACCTATTAATGAATAGGTCATCATGAACAAGAATTATACTGGGTATAGATGACATGCAAAGGTAGCCTGTGTACCAAAGAACTGCAAGTACTTAAAAAGTGAATTAATTGAACTGCTGAGTAAGTTGTAAAGCATAAACTTTTTTAAGCAACTGTACTGAAGGAAAGAATAGATATATGGCATTTTATTTATTATTTTTAGATTATTTTAAATATTATAAACAACAAAGGCTTTATCATAATCCAAGACACTGCAGTACTTCAGAAGGATGTAAACGCTCCAATAAATCAGGTAGAGTAAAAAGACTTCATAAAACAAAACAAATTGACTAATGACTTTTTTTTTCTCCCACACTATCAACCTAGTACCAGCAATATACGGTTATACACCAGCTGATACGGTTTCTGGACACTGGAAGCTGTGCTTAATGGCTTTTGCTTTGCTCCACAGCTCACACTAAAGTCAAGAACATTCTCAGCCCATTCATATGCTCAGCTTTATGAAAATAGCTCTCTTCAGATAAAGCTTTCTTTGGCAGGTTTGAAACAAAATGTTGCAAATAATGCATTCTTCAATATAAAGTAATTAAAAGAAAAAACATAACTGCTCTGAGAAAGCAGAAAATATTTAGGATAGTGGTTTATCTTTCCTGTAGATCACTGATTTTCTGTTTGCTTCCTCTTGAGCTCTGAAAAGAATTGGGTGTCTAAGGAATAATTTTGAACTGGTCACAAAATACCTCAAAGACCTACCACACGGATTTCTGCTTTATCCAGTGATAAACAGGAGGTCCTGAAAGAATTGCAGTTTGAAGAGAAAAATGCTTAGATTGGCTTTTTTTTTTCTGCCCAACAGAAAAGCATTTTCATCTAGGATTCTCTACAGCTTTACTTTTCTTCATTTTTAGAGCACAAGATACCGAGGGCAAGAAGGAGGAGCAGTCAGCCCAGTAGAACAGGATTTGCTCGCTGTATAAAGATCCAATACCCTAAATTCCTCAAAAACATAATTCAGTCTTCTCAGAGAGCCCCCCTCCACTTGGGAGGGTTTAATCATAGTGCAAGATAGACGGCAGCTGTCCGGTACAGACAGAGAGGTGAATAAAGATTTAAGTTGATATCTGTTATCCTGCCACCCACGCAGCAATGGCTAGCTCGAGAGCCCAAGAAAAAACAGCGTACCTACAGGAAGCTTTTCAGCCTGTTTCTAAGAATTCAAAAGTATTTATACAGTACTCATCACAACAACTCATGACCAGCAGAACTGGTTAGAAATTGAACATCATATGCATTAAAAAACTGCCATTTTGAAGACTGGAGAGAAGAAAAAGGCCAGGAAAAAAACAAACAAGCAAAACCCTGCAGTTTCTTCCCCTTGTGCACAAAATATTCCTTTCCATGTTTTCTCGTATTGATAGTATTTTATACTATTGTTTTACAAGAACTTTATCTAGAATATTTCAGGCACTTACAAAAAGTCTGAGCTATAATACATGCCCAGTGCTTTTATTACAATTAAACAATTTCACACAATTGAGTTGGAGTGCATGTATGCCAAATACTTCCTGAGAAGCATTGCATTAGATAGGCTGGATTGGTTAAGATGTCTTGTAAAATGAGAACCGTTGACTACGTACAAACCTTTAGAGAGACAAACAGCAAATAAAGGGCCTTTGCATTCTCCAAGTTATCTTGCCAAAGAATTTCCTAAGCAAAACTCTAGACCATCAGTGTGTTTGTGCTATTTAGGACATCTCACCCTTTCAATCATGTTTTTGGTCTTCTCTGTTCCAACAGGGACTTCATGAACACGATATTGGAAGCAAAGATAACTCATCACAGGAGAAGGAGCATCAAATAACTCTCGTAAATATGAGAAAAATCCATATCGGCTAAAGAGGAGAAAAAAGGGAGCATCACAAATAAAATCAGGCAGACAAGAAAGCTGAAGTTACTGAAGCATGGAAAAAAATCCCACTGACCCCAAACCCCAAAGTTAGTAATAATTTGTTTTGCAAAGAAAATCCTAATGCATAGCAGTGACAACAGAAGTATTAAACTTAAAACCACCCCCACGTAGTAATTTGATACTTACTGTAACTCTTCAATAGGTCTTGAAGGTTTGTGTTCAGCACATGACTCAGCAGGCGCACACACAGCATTCACTTTTAGCTTCTGATGATCACGCATCTACAGACAGATTACTTGATAAAATACTTGATTAAAGATAATTTGGCTAAGAAGAAAGTGTAGAAAAAATCACTACATGAAAATGAAATACTGATTGAAGAGACATTTTACAGAATCACAATTTATTTTGAACTGATTTAAGCCACACAAAAAGTCACCAAAATGCGAACTGGTTTCAGACACACCCAAGTTCTCTGAAGGCCAAAGTCAGTTAATATTTGCATGTGAAAATACTTTATCTTAGTAATAATAAAAGCAAACCAAAGAAATCCACAGCCTGGTGCTCAGTGTAAGCAGCTAAGGGGTATCCTGATATGCATGCACATGATAAGGAAGGCTTCTCTTTTTCAGGCTATATGGTCAGTCTGCACAAAAAAAAGGACAGATGAGCGGCCACAGGGGCTCTGTAAAACCTAGTGCTAACAGGGCAGAACAGAATTACACAACAGATCAATCTGCCCTTCTAAAGCACCCTTGCACTGCATCCCACAATAACGGAGGTAAGAGGAGCCCCCAAAACCTCAGATGACGCGACGATTCACTTGCACAGTCATGACTAGCTTTTGCAAAAGGCAGACAGAGTTTGAAAAATGCAGGACGGTTTGTCATTAGTTGCGCTACACCAGTGGGTAGCGCTTGGGAAGAGCTACGACAGCTAATGCTGCATCTCGTAGCTTTCTCTGTCATCTTTCTGTCTGTCAAAAGGCATAACATGCATTTCCTCATGGTTCCATGAAACAGCAGCATTAGGAAAAAACAATCTTGGTTTCCTGTTTAGACCACTGTCTTCTTCCAAAAGATGTCGTCTCCTCTCCCTATTCAGTAGGCACTGGAAATGCTTGGTACTTAATTAGCAGTTCTCTGGCTTTGTCTTTAATCTATTTTTGTGTGTGTGTGCAAAGTTTTTTCTCATCAGTAATTGTTGCCTTGTCAAGCCAGACAGAACTATTTCTATAAGAAAAAAAATATTCTTCATTTTCCTGATCCTTCCAGTTGGTCTAGACTTTGAAAAAATATTAAAAAAAGAAAGCCTCTGACTACTTGCTATTAGTCATTATGTTGATCTTATCTGGGAAACCAATTAAAAGAACATTAATATACACAGACCCCAAGCTATAAGGCTCCTATAACAATTTTAATCAGCTTTTAAAATCTTTGTCTACTTGCCTCAAGAAGAAACTTTTCCATATCTTCTTGGCTCTCAAAAACAAAAGCCCTCATGTCATTTGAAGAAATATGATTTTCAACATATTTAGCATGTCTGTTGTCTTTCATGTTGATCTGATCATTTAGAAAAAAATGATAAAGTAATGTAGAGAGACTGACTTGATACAACATCACTTAAAACCACTCAACAAAAACAAACATACAAAAAAGGCAGATAAAGTGTCCCTGAACCTGTAGCTAGTTGTGCAAAGCAAGCTATAAAAACACCTGGGGATCACGGTGACATCTTGTAACCTCTGCTGAGCAGCTGGTGCTAAGAGCAGGGAGTTAACTGCAGCTACCACTGCTTTTTTAAGAAGCCACTTAAGCCTCAGTAATGGGATGTACCTTGGAGGAAATCTGCAGTGGGGTCCTTTGGAAAGGACAGCGCACCGGGGCAGAGGGAAAACACCACACTCAGTGTTGTGCTACATTGCTTATAGAAACCAAAACACAAATCCTTCTCTATGCTAATGTATACTCTATGCAATTGGCACCTGATTTGATAATACGTAGCAACCACTCTTGAAAAGCATAAATGAAAAGAAACTACACATATTAACTGGTTAGTATGATACATAAATAAATTTCCTTACTTCAAGCATCATGGGTTCACAAACTTGTTTTTTAAACTTGTCAAGGTTCTTTCTTAGCCACATAAGAGCAGAGTGGGTGTCTCGGAATTTCCCTTTGAGCGTCTCTTCCTTCATATTCATTATATTATCAAGTTCTGCAATGCAACCAGCTATTCCTGTAATTTAAGACAGGTTGTTAAATATGGCTGAAATACTAAAACAAAATGAAGCTTTACTCAAAGCCAAATGTGGTGCTACAGTACTTCTAAACAGCAAAATCACAGCCCTAGAGGTATCTCTGTCCAAATCTGGTTAAATCTTTTCAGTTAAAACCAAAAATGCTCTGAGATGAAAGAGGCAGTGAGTAGAAAAAAAAAAATCTGGATTTTATTATAACTTTTGCAGAAATACAAAGATTCAATAGCAGACCAGGAAGAAAGGATTTGTTACTCAGGAGAAAGGAAATTAAACACTTTCTACACCTTAAATAAAAACAATAATAATCTTTCTCCTCTAAGCAAGTTACCCTGTTTTTTTCAAATACCATTTTCTTCTTGAGGTTCATCAGACATATAATCAACCAGATATGTTAAAGGTGTTTGGTCTCTATGACATATTAGGCACCAGACAGATGGGTATGTGCAGATGAGAAACAAGTATGACACACCAAGCCCTGCTAAACTAAGCCTCTTTATTTTGGTTCTTTAAAAAAAAAAAAAAAAAGAAAAAAAAAAAAGGGAAATCCTAGGCTAACACAAAGGAACCTAACAATTAAGGTTAGCTGAAGTTCACGTAAAAAGGACAAAGACTTGCTAATGTCCTGATGAAAAGATCATTTTACACACTAGATTTTCAAAAGTAACTGCAGTGGTTTCATTTTTTTGCCTCCTGCTAAGAAGAATCCAGCTTCACTTAATCATAGCAAAAGTGCAATTGTCAAGGAGGTCTCCTTACTCACTTAGCTATTTAAGTTTCTTCTAACAAAACTGTTAACAGCAAGGAAGACTGCCATACAATTAAGATAAACATAATAATGAAGCTTGAAGAAACTTCAGAAATTATTTCACCACAGCTGGACAGCAAGTAGGTTCTGTAAGAACACTCTAAAAACAAGAGAGACTTACTTTTCTTTTCCATCTCTTGGTTACTTTTCTCTGTTCTTAGATCACTAACGTCACTATCAATATTTGCCCTTTCTTCTTGCAACTGTTTCAGCTCTTTGTTAACAGCATCAATTTGTGGCTGAAGATTTTCAGAGACCATGGTTTGGAGCTCATTCTCCCACTCCTCTATCATCTTACGAGTGTTGTATATTTTTTTCTGTCTGTCCATTTCTTCATCTTTTTTCATTCTCAAAGCTTGATTAATTTCTTCAATCTAAAAATGTTGAATATTTCCAACATTAAAGCAGTTTAGTACACAAAAGCTAAGAAAACTATGACATCCATGAAACAGGCATTGAATGCCAATTTTAACTGCCAGAGGCTGTTTTAGTGACAATTTAAGAAATAACAAGATTTTGTTAAGATTTAGATATTTAAGTACAACTACAATCAAGCCTTTAAATCTTTTTTTAAAGTCCCTTTATCTGCACTTAACCAGAAGCTTAAGAACTCCTAAAGTTGCAGAAAATGCAACTTTAGCTCTGCCCTCTTGTGTTTAACTCTGGCATTTCTTGATGGTGTACTTAAATGAAGACCAGCAACTCAATTTTGCAGCACTTTTGAGTTGTGTTTTTAAAAGATGCTAGATGAATATTCTTAGTTAACAGGAAGAACAACTCCAGCCTCTCACATAAAATATTCGAGGCAATGTTTAATGCTGAATGCATTACTTTAGTGGTTTAGCTTTCCAATCACAATAGTTGACAGAAGGCTTGTAAGCACATATTACATATACATAACATCTATTCTGAAAGTTCATTTCATCCAGGTAAATGATTTACACAACATAAGCCTCTCCCTTATTTTAGTATATATAGTATACTAAGTATAGTATTTTAGTATATATATATAGCCTATTTTAGCAGTTAGCATTGTTTTGCCAGGGTACTTCTGTTTTGCCAGAAGATACAAAGATTCAGAGTGTACTGAAGGGAGTATAGGGGTTCAAAGCTCTTCTAAGCTCTTCAGACTTTCCCCTGCAGTGACGCTATACGTGTATATATCTATTTATGTATATGTACATATATACACACACCCACATACATAAACACATACATCACTACAGAATTTAAGGAGTAGTACTCTACTTGAATGCCGCATGTGCAACATCCGGTATTGAATTATTACATTAGGAAGGAAGCACCAAAAAAGCAATATTGATCAAGACTCTTACTTGTTTATCTTTCTTCTCCAAAGCATCTTGCTTTTGTTTACATTTTTGGGAAGTGTCTTTGATTTCAACAGTCTGCACACAAACACATATTTAAATTAGACACTCGTATAATCCGGCTACAGCTATATCTGTACAAAGCATCCAGCCACATTTTTAAGGACATTCTACATATGCATAACTAAACACTCACTCCACAGCTCACTACTGACAAAAGTCAACTCATCAGTTTCTTATAAATCCTACTTTTATCTGTAACACATGTATATTCAGAAATTTGTGAAAAACTGAATACTGGCTTTTAATCTGTTCACAACAGTGTAACATCAGCAAGAGATCTGCAAATTCAGAAATGACAGACAAAAGAAGTCTCATAACTCAGTCTGAAATGAAAGTAATTTCATCTTTGATTGCAATAAAAGAGTGGTACAGTTAGATCCTTAAACTTCAAAATGCTCATCTCACTTTCAAAACCAACTTTACCACAGAAACCTTAGACTTAGCAGCCAAAATGTAATTTTACCTTGAACTTAGAGTAAGAAAAGTCTTACTTCCTAGGGCTAGGAACAGCCAAAACAGCATTTGTAAAGGTCATCTTAGCTCTGGGGCCTACCATACTAGAGCCACACAGCTGAACATCATGACACCAATGTCTCTACCTCTTTTCCTATCCTGTTCAATTTTCACAGAATTACAGAGTAATTTAGGTTGGAAGAGAGCTCATCCTACCAACAGCCATTTCAAAGTAGGTCTTACTATATGTGGCTACCCAGACACTTGTCCAGTCCAGTCTTACACATCTCCAGAGAGGGATGTTTCAACATCTCTTTGGACAACATGTTCCAGCATCCAAACACCCTTGTGTTTTAAATAGAAAAAGGAAAAAAAAAATCCCAGTATCTAATCAGGCTTTCCCATTTTCTAGCCTGTGTCCATTGCCTGTCATCTCTTATCACCTGTCTCTGTGACCCTCTCCTTCCCTCTAAGGAGAAAGCAAGTGAGCTGGAGCTGGGAAGGCCCATGAAATCTATTTGCCTCAAGGGGTTACCTAAAAGGTGAAGTGAGACCGGAAGAAAAGAACTTGGCAATCTTTAGACTTCTGTTAAAGTGGCAGTAAGAGAGCATAGGAACTAAATTGCAGTGTGGCTAAAATTAACAAGCCTGAAAAAAATCTCATTTGGTAAAAGTAATCAGAAAAAGCTACTAATTGCAGACTGGATAAACACTTTGGCAGGATGATTGCACAGTGGATGTGCACTCTGCTTCTCTACAAGTTTAACTTCTTCCACAAAGGGATGGAAGCACTTTGGTTAAATTCAGCAAAGACTTTAAGAAAAAAAAAAACAAAAAACAGGACCCTTTCACTGGAAGGAATTGCTTCCTACTAAGAGTCACAACTTAAAATACAACAAGAACTGAAAAAAATAGTAAAACTGTGCAGAATCTTTTCCCTCTCACAACCTAAAATATGCGTACAAAAGTAATACTCTGACTCTGTAGTTGTTTGCATGATGGCAACATGAAAAGATACACCATGATCTTGCAGTGGACTGCAAGAGTATTGATTCCATGAGGCTCTCTCCAAAGACCTCTGCTGGGCACTCTCAAGAGGAATGTTTCTCCTGGGAAACAGCCAGCTGCAAAATGATCAGAAAAATATTCTGGAAGCTTTCAAAGTCATTACAGAGGAAAAGAAGTCAGACTCAGTTTTTCAATTATCATATACTTTTATGATAGAGTCCAACAATAGGGATTGCTTTTGTTTTTGACGGTATGACCACAACACATTTTTTTATACCGACAAATACTACTCAAAATGGCATTAAATAGTCCAGGCTGTGCAAACGCCTTTAAAGGACTAGGAGGGGAAACTATTCTGGGCTTCTCTCCTGAAATTGTATCACCCTCTCCCTGCAAAATGGGCAGACTTACCTTTCTCCAGAACATCCCCAGCACCAAAGCACAAAGCTTTACTAGCTTTCCTTACTCTAACCAACTCCTTAAAATGGTTTAACACAGAAAGGGGCAACAGAAGTTGCTACACAGCCTCCAGATGCATTAACAGCAGTTAGCAGATGGATTTAATATGTCTTCACCTTCGGTTTGGCTCAGTTCCAATAAATTCAAGCACTGTCTCTGAAGAAATGAAAAACTTCTGCGGAAGTGGCAATTTAAGCAATTTTAAGGTACAGAATTTAAAAGCCTCAAGGTCTTGCCTTAGTTTAAGAACGGTCTCGTGATAGCACAGACAGCACAGATTCTATGTCAATAAAAGCAGGCCAGTTTAAAAAATTTCACAGGCCAGTTTAAAAAAAAAAAAAAAAAGTATGGGTGAGGGAAACAGCTTTCAAAACCCAAAAAGGGCTACTACTGTCACCAAAGTTCTCAAAGTATCAATACGTAGGTAACATACCAATTTGCAATAATATCAAGAAATCTTAGCATCTACCTAGATTAACAGACAGCTGTTAATTTATCTGCAGGGTATCCCTTAACAGAAAACGATCAAATAAAGATATGTAATTATGTATTACATCTTGGTAACGTGTCTGATGTAATTCTAACATCCATGGAATAACCAGGCATACAGCACATTGCCTTATGCCACTCTTCTCTATGCCAAGATTTTGTACACTGCACAAGCCCTTCAGGAGAAGGAAAACACACCTAATACATTCTCCAGGCCCAAACAGAGATACCATTTTGGCATAAAGCTAACCTTGCAAACATTTAGTGTAGTCTTATATTCCATAAGTATTAATTCTGCAAAGAAACGTTTTGATTTAAGCATTCGGGCAGATCAGCTAGCACATTCTCCAATTTTGCTTCCACAATTCTCTAGCAAACAATCTGAGCAAGCTCTTTGCAAGTTTAAACTAAAATACTTACTTTTAGTAGGTTTCTCACACAAACAGAATGTAACTTTTACATTAATACAGCCTAAGACTTCTATAAATGTAGGCAACAGCAGAATTTCTTCCTGATTATAAGAATGACTAAACATTAATTAAAAAATGAGAAATACGATTAAACTCTAGCTGTGAAAACACAGCTTAGCACTTAAGAAGCATGAAAGTCTTTACTGCATTATGAAAATTAATCTCAAGCTTTCAGCTGCTAACTTCCCTCTAAAGAAGCACAATTACCATCTACTCTTAAAAAATAAAAACTTCAATAAAAGTTTTACTGTTTTAAAGTTTTAAACTTTAAAGATATTTAGATATTCTGCATCATAGTCTAATAAAATCTCAAGCTACTGGAGAGCACATAATTCAAATATTCTTGCATGTTTTCCTCTTAAAGGACCCATTTAGAAAGGAGTTTTTTTAAGTAATAATATATGGCCAAAATAGTATCAGCTGATCCAATTTAGATCATACACATGAACAAAAATTGCAGTGGTATAAGCAGCAATCTGCTCTTATTGCAGAAAGCTTATCTGCTAAAGCACACCTGTAAAACATACAGTTTCACAGAAAACTACACTAAAAGCAGGTAATTTGGACTGATCTTTTTTTCTGCACCAGCTTGTATGTAAAACATTGCATGCTCAAAAAGCACATTAAGGGTGTATTAACTCAAACTGCACTGCGAGCTGACAAAGATTCAGATGCTTATTCCATAGGCTGCTCCATGACAGCAGTCCTCTGCAGGTGTCTTCACACAGGCTCCCTCGACCTGATCACAGTTTTCTTCAGACAGACTCACTGCAGCCAACACTCCCATTCTACCCGTTACATTCCGGTTATCCATCATAAATTGCCTGCTGGTGTCCTCCAGCAGGATTTCTGCAGCCTGACTGGCAGTACACCTCACACGGGACTGGTAAAATCCTGCAGCGCATCACAGTGCTTCTGTCTCCATTTCTCATGCAGAAATAGTAATTTACCATATCCTTAGAGAGAAGAGCTCACTCAAAAGCAGACACTAAGCTGGTAGACCTAGGTAGGTTAATCATTTAAATTATTTTACTCACAAAAATATTCCAAATTGATGGGATTATTCTCCAATATTAAAAAAATAGTTCTATTTATACAACAAGGGTAAATTCTGAGGAAAGCATTTAGCATTCAGAATTCACTAAATTTTCAGAAGGTACTGATACAGAGTATCCACAACCTGAAAATAGAGAACACATTAAAAAAATCTTACACAATTAATATGGATATTTAACTTGTGAAAACTGTAACAGGATGTTTCTGAAGATTTTTAAGGTTGCATAGACAGAAAACCTAAAATGTGCCTGTTGCCAAAAGTAGATTTGTGAAGCAGCTATCAAGGGTTTATTAAGAAATGCATTCCTTGAGTTTTATTGCTTTTAACGGAACGGAGACATGAAGAAGTGAGAATTAAGAGTATTTCAAAAAAATTATTTTAAAAACATGTCACTCCAAAAAGAAAAACTACATTTCTTTAAATTCTACAAAGCTGAACAGCTGCAATGTTAAATATATTCAATTTCAAGTTAAAGTACCTACCTTATCTCTGATTTTCGTATCAAGACTCTTACAATGTTCCTCAATTTCTTGAGTTTTTTTTGTCATAGGAGCCTGCATTTCTTTCAGATTCTTCAATTCTTCCTTAGCCTGGTCACGACTTTGTTTCACTTCTTCATGCTGCTGACGAACATTTTCATATTCCTTGCAAAAATATGAAAGCAGAATAATAGATTTTGCCTTCTAGTCCACATGATTTGATACTGCTCTAGCATTTCATTTAATTGTACATCAGTTTGGAAAAAAAAAAAAAAACTCCTTTATAAGTTAGTGTACTACCTAAATAAGCCTCCTGTTATTTTCAGTATGACCAAAAGAAAAACAGACCACTTAGTCCCCAATGAACTGCACACAAATTTAATGCTTTTCAAGTATTAGGCCATTCAAGGAGCAGAAGAAACAATCAAATTTTCCTGCAATTACCTTTCCTCTAAGTCCATCTTGGGTCAACATGGGAAAACTAACTCTTTAGTCCCTTCTTCCCATAGCCTGAGAACCACTTATGCAGAAATCCTGAAGCTAAGGGGCAAATAACCACAAAAAGAAAAGGAAGGCAAAAGAGCTAGGCAGACCAGGTCAGCTTACCCCATGGTAAACTAAAGAAAGAGACAGAGAAATAAAACTTTGGGGGAAACAAACAAACAAAAAAGGTCACCCACACACCACCAATACCAAAGAACTCACTGGGGACAAGGAACTCGCTGGGGAGCTGAGAATAAAATTATGGTAAGCAGTGCAGTGAACAAGAACCACTATCACCAAGAACACAAGAATTTCTAGAGAAAAACAGCCAAGGCTCTGAGAGAGCAATTACTTCTATCATGAGAAACAGGCTTGTTTCTCATAGGGCATGAGGTGACAAGTTAGCTGGAGGAAAAAAAAAAAAAAAAAGGGACCTGATGTTCAACAACATACAGGCTGAAGAGTGTAAAGGCAGATTACACCAAGCTTTAAAGCACAGAAAAGAGAGCTTGCAAACTCCATCTGAATCAGCTAATTTAGCCTTATCCTCCACTACTCATTCCC